GGTTTCAGCAGACGCAGAAAGAGAATTTACTTACGTATCCTTGGCAATCATCGCACCTATTCTCATTCCTGGGCCAAGAATTTGGAGAAGCTCCATTACTGTCAATTTATTCATCCAGTGATGGTTATTTACCAACCCTCTTCTCCATGCCCATTCCCAGTGATATCCATATTTTCTCCCATATGCCTCGACGTTCAACCATATGCCTTTCAATTGATAATGCATCTTCAATATATTCTCATTTCTCGTTGTGCTCTTCATTTTCTGTCGTGTCGTCAAACGATCAGTCGGGTCGCCAATTTTTGCAGTAGCTCCTCCAACCAACGAAACCGTGTGGTAACCATGTACATACATCCAGAACAGGGACATGAGAGGTAGTAAATGGCCAACATGGAGTGAAGGCGCCGTAGGATCTACACCCACATACGCACCAAGCCGGTTTTCCGTCATCGCGCGATCAAGTTCGTCTCTCGAACTAAAACAAAAGTTAACGTCTCGCATCGGAGAAGCCAAGGAGGGGTACCTACCCAGTTATCTGATGTACATATCCTCGCTCCTCCAGAATTGAAAGCATGCTCTTCTTCTTTCCTGCTTTAATTTCCGCAGCATTCTTGGCCCACGCCAATTGCGCATCTGCCGCTTTCGCTAGGTATTTCGTTCCAATCCATCTTCTCGACGCTTTATTTGAATTTCGAGAAGTTCTGAAAGCGCATCTTGCGCAAACATAAGGGTCAGGTCGAGCCGAATATCGAAGGAGAGAAGTGGTTGCCATCTTGTGTGACTGAAAAATAGGAGTATTTCACGAATACATGAAGAATCTCGAAGAAAACAGAAAGGTCTCGCGACCGAAGGCTTCTACGACAAATATCCTGCTTCAATATCCATTTGCAATTCTTGAGGGCCAAAATAATTTTACGGAAATCCGGTAAGGTTAAACATTTATCCGACTGCCAAGATAAGATTATTAATCAGCCCGCCCGCTAGTCAGGGGGTTCTCCATCCGCGCCTGTGTTTATCTCCACGTGCTCTCCAGTGTCCACATTCAGAGGCACGGAAGAGCAACCTCCATAATTCATCAGCAGCTAGTAGATTCGTACACTGCAAGTTTTGAATGACATATATTGAGACCATTCATCCATCCAACCACATTGTACAGAAGAAAAAGAACAGATTCACACAGATAGTCACGGGTTTGGGAAGAAACTCTGTACCATAAGTCAAAATCTATTCCTTGACACTTCACACTTCGCTCCTTCTCCATCTGTTTAACAACAGGCTTTCCTAGTTCTCCTCCGTTTTTGGAAACTCTTAACTTCTCTATAAAAATCTTACATGCTACTTCTGTCTACCCAACTTTACTACCCAATACCTCACACTGATTCTGCCCTTTGAGTAAAAATGGCCGAAGCTCAGACATTCATCAGTGGAGCAGATGGCAATGAAGTCTTTCAAGCGAAGTATATTCCAAAACAAAAAGGTCCTCCCACTTCAGACCACCCGAGTTTGAAGGCATACATCTCAACTTATCCTCCTTTGGGTCAACTGACGACTGTTCCTGATCATACCAAAGTCGTCACAGCTTTACTAGAGGTTGATGAAAGTCGTGCCACAGAATCATGGGAAGTTTCACTTCTGTATAGCAGCAATGGAGACCAATGTGAGGAATCTCTTATGGAGTCTATAGAGAAGACAGATTCCCAACCAAAGGTTTTGCAAACCGTCGCACCTTTGGGGCTCCATCAATTATACTTCAAAACCTCTTTACCCGCCCGTCTCCCAACGAATTTCACAGTCAAATTCCGAAGCAACTCGAGCCAATCTTGGAAACTCATACAAGACCACCAGGGAACGCCAGATGGGAGGATTGTCTTGAAAACAATCACTTCCCAGGAGAACATCTCAAGTAATTTATCCGATTATGTTCAGGACTTAAATACGTCACTAGAAGTCAAGAATTATCGCAGTCAATGCCCAGGGACTACTTTATGGTCAGTGCAAGTCCCAATTGAAGGAGCTGTTGGAAAAGAATCCACTGTAAAGGACATTAAATTTGGGCTCCCTTGGGGCCAAGATAAATTGGCAAGGTTGGTCTCACTCTTCGTTATCACCTAATATTTCACTCTTTGCTGACATAGCTAGATGGTTTGCTTTGATTCGCATTTGGACACCCTGGCTGGCCCCTCGACAGGGAAAAAATCATTTTGAGCTTGATAAAGAGGCCGTAACTTGTTCCTTTTTAAGCTCGGATGGCAAGCACATTGTTTTACTGGCTATCAGTGGAATTAATAACGTCATGACTCTATTCAAAAGTGACAGTGATGGCAAAGTTGTCTTGGAAGTATGTTAGAAATTTTCAAGACTTGAATATTGCGATTTTAACTTAGACAGGTTCGAAATGATAATCCCAAGGAGTCTGTTGCTCATGTCCTTGTTGGACTTGGAGATGACTATGAGTCCGCCAACGCCACTGTCATGTATCATGCTAGAGATGTCGTTGCGGCTCTCGAGAATAAGTCTGGACAAACGCAAAAGGAGATCGAAGCGCTCGAAGAAGGGGACGAGAAAACAAAGGTTTGGGTTGAAAACTGGTGTGATGGCTTGACTTATTGTATACCCAATAACTCTCCCGAAATAGTTTAAATAATTTACTAACCAACAATGCAGGCACATGGAATGCGCTTGGGCAACGACTAACCGAAGATAAGATACTCAAAGCAGTCGACATTCTAGCAGAAAACAAAATCAACGTCACAAACTTCATCATTGACGATAACTGGCAGTCAATTGACTATAAAGGACATGGTCAATTCCAACACGGTTGGATTGAGTTTGAGGCAGAAAGAGAAGCGTTTCCAAATGGCTTGAAACACACCGTATCGCTCATCCGACAGAAACAGCCTAGTATTCAGCATGTTGCTGTATGGCACGCGATTCTGGGCTATTGGGGTGGTCTTGCCTCGGATGGCAAAATCGCTGAGACTTACAAGACAGTCGAAGTCATTCGCCGAGATTCCGAGAGACGAAATTTACCTTTGGGTGGTAAAATGACTGTGGTCGCCAAAGAAGATGTTCGGCAGTTCTATGACGACTTTTATTCATTTCTTTCATCTTGTGGAGTTGATGCGGTTAAGACTGAGTAAGTGGGCCAAGATTTATCAATTTCTTGCTAACATGAAATAGTGCTCAATTTATGCTTGATCTCTTCGAGTCTGCCGAAGACCGCAGTGATCTTATATCCGCATATCAAGATGCGTGGACCCTTTCAACTCTTCGACATTTCAGTGTCAAAGCAATCTCTTGCATGTCACAAATTCCGCAAATTCTCTTTTATTCTCAATTACCCCAGAACAGACCTCCAATTCTCGTACGGAACTCTGATGACTTTTTTCCCGAAATTCCAACTAGTCATCCATGGCATGTTTTCACCAATGCCCACAATGCTTTGTTCACCCAGCATCTCAACCTCATTCCAGATTGGGACATGTTTCAGACCGTTCATGACTATTCTGGCTTCCATGCAGCTGCTAGATGTGTTAGCGGCGGTCCAATATACATTACAGATGTGCCAGGTCAACACGATCTTGATCTTATCAACCAAATGACAGGCCCCACTCCTCGAGGCAAAACTATCATTTTCAGACCTAGTGTCGTTGGTAAGAGTCTAGATCAGTATAATGGGTACGACGATGATCACATACTCCCAATCGGAACATACCATGGCGCTGCGTATACAGGGACTGGTATAATAGGCTTCTTCAACGTATCCCAGAGACCACTTAGTGAATTGGTGCCGTTGTCAAAGTTTCCTGGTGTTGAAGAGGCACAGTTTTACATCATTCGTGCACATTCTAGTGGAGTTATCTCTCAGCCCATGCAAGTTGTGGACCCTCAGGCTTTGATATACGTTTCTCTCGCTGTGAGAGGATACGATATCTTATCAGCCTATCCTTTGCGCGGATTTGTTGATCAAAAAAATGACAATACTACATGGGTAGCTAACCTAGGTCTCCTTGGTAAAATGGCCGGAGCTGCAGCGATTGTCAGCACCAAAATGACGAAATCAGAGAATGGCAAAATCCTGATTGACACAAATATCAAAGCTCTAGGAACTCTTGGTAAGTTCAACTCATTATTTTTTCTTTTACAGAAAAAATAAAACTAGATTCTAATTTGATCTTTAGGAATCTATATCTCGACTCTTCCTGATGTATCATACGAAGAGACCCTGTTGGTCACCATTCTTGGTAAGGTTGTACCACTTCACACAGTCAGTATTAGCAAGACTGATTCACATGTTCTTGAAATCGACATACTGGCGGCATGGAAGGAACTTGAGCTTTCAGGTGGATGGAGCAATGAAGTAGAGGTAAAGATATACATCAACTCTGCAGCATAGATCTCAGGTCCTCTGTCACATCCAATATTTGTTACAACGAAGCTCTCTCGTCTTCGCTCAGACGAGTCATCTAGCTTGAGACTGAATAGCAAAGATAATTCATGGCTTCGTAACCAATGATAGTTTCCGTAAACATTGTCAAGTCGCTTCTCTCATTCGTACTACACACTTCGCAGTACACCAAATATAGATCAATCTTCAAAAACAATCAGTAATCTAGAATCTTCAAACTTGTAATAGTATAGTCTAATTTACTGAATGGAAATTTGACGATTAATTCATTTTTGAAATGTTATGCTAATGAATTTTTGTTTATTTATGAAAGATTAAATATCGATTTGGGCATACCGCGATTGACTGGAGCCGCGTGCTTGTGAGCATCACATGCACGTGAAGTGGTGTAACCAATCGAAGAAGGTACAATGCTATGCGAAGGACCCCACCTCTAACCACAACCACAGTAGATATTCGCAAGTTACCTATTATGAGTATGATAAGAGACAGACTTCTACTTACATTTCTGTTCGGCCTATCAAGTATCCTACTGTATTACCCGTCCCACTTCGAACAGCAAGTGCTCAGTCTAATGGCTGACGCACACAAAATGCCATCACCTCCCACTATACCAACGGAAACTCGCCCAACACCATTCATCGTCGAATCCCCGAACGAAAACCAAAATACTCTTGTTCTACTACATGGTACTTCATCTTGGGGAGTCCCGTTCGCCCAAGAGCTCATGGCGCTGGTTCACTTTGATGTTTTACTCCCATTCACTAAACTCACTTTTCCATCGGGAATCCTACGAAAGACTACTGTCTTTGGTGGTAATTTGACCAATGCTTGGTTTGACATTGCCGATTTTTCAGATCGGACAGTAGGGGAAGAACAACAGAAGAAAGGGCTAAGAGAAAGCGTGGAGTATTTGGGCAAGCTCATTAAGAATGTAGTAGACAATGAATCTCACGATGAAGATCGCAAAGTGTTTGTAGGAGGTCTTAGTCAGGGATGTGCCATGAGCGTGGTTTTGTTGCTGAGTGGAGAATTGGATCGATTGGAAGTGTTGCCGAAGATTGGAGGATTTGTAGGGTTTAGTGGATGGTTGCCGCTTGGGAAACAAATTGCTGAAGTCGCTGCTGCTGGAAAAGATTGGAGACAGAGGAGAATGCTTGTTCAGAGTTGGTTAAGAAGCGAGTTAGGTCTCCCATCTTCGCGACCCCGAGATGAATTGACGATATCTACGGAAGGAGACTTGAGGATCCTCTTAACCCATGGTACAAATGACACGAAAGTAAAATTGGAGTGGGGTGAAAATATGAAGAAAGTATTAGAGAGTGTGGGGTATAGTGTTGAGTGGAAACTCTATGAAGGTTTAGGGCATGTCATTATTCCAGAGGAACTGACTTACATGGCGTCCTTCATAAGAAAGTAATTAACTGGCTAAGATCTTGTCGCTTATCAGCCCTTGTCTGTTGCCTTGATTCCAAGCCCCTTAGGAATAGTCACCAATCTTCGAACCGGCCAACACTTTTTCGCCCGCTGTCCACCTATTCCATTAGTTAGGTACAGGAAATCTGTCGTTTCATTTCATTTTCATCATCAAACAACCATGCACTATCAGCTGGCTACAAAGCACGATAATTGTTCAAGAACCTTCTCAGATAATATCCAATTCTATTTCATTAGAACAGTCTAGCCCAGTCTCTGAAACCTCAAAAGTTATGAGTGACGCTTTAAAGAAGAATGCCTCAGTTCCCATTCACCGGGTGTGGGTGCATATTATTAAACAAGAAAAAGTCCACAAGCATTCTTAGACGCACTACGCAGACCACTTGGGATTTAGATGTAAAGTAGTTAGATTGTTGTAAATTGATGAAATCTTAGTCCAGATCATAATCACTCCTCGAAAATTATGAAATTTGTTTATGTATTGTGCCTATTTTGTTTCATATACCAGGTATGTTGGGGTTTGCGGGCCCTATAAGCGAAAGCGGGGTATATCACACCCCGGAGCTGGATGTCTATAGTATTAGATTGTAAGACGATATTTTCAAATGATCTATAAATCACCTATAAAGAAATTGAGCACAATTCACGATTTTTCCACAATGTTTGATTTTCAAGCGATCAGGAAAGATAATTGCTTTGGTATTAATTGTTGCTTGGTTGTACTCGAATGGGTCAACTCGAATGGGTCAACTCGAAGTCTGATGAGGATCTCCTGCGACGGCGGTTCCTAAACAAACCCAAACAACTCCTGATAGCTCAGGAGAGCTCACCATAAAAATCTAAGAAGAATCTTTTTCAAATTGTGTTGGTTGTGTTTGAGTGGTGCCCATAGCGGGCTACAGAAGCATACAATCTTCCTCGGGCCTTTCTCTCAATCACTGCCTATTGTTTAGTTAGTACGGGAAGGTGGACAATTCAGGATCATCAATGTTGGCGGTTTCCACTAACTAGAGGTAACAACAATGCTATTTTGCTGCCTTCAGCTTTTACCTTTGGCTCGATATCCTATAAAGCCTACAGTGTTTCTAGTGTAATCTAGTGTTAAATCGATAGCTCAATATTCCGTATATTCATCGTCGTTTCGAAGCGCCCTCGATAATAATTACCTCGTACGTATCATTGTCAAATCATCAGCGCAGTATCTAGTCATGAAGCGACAAGTTCGTTGGTATAGCACAGAAGGATACCCTTTCATTATCTTTGCAGACGAAGATGAGAGTCCATTTGCTTTCCGGCAGGATGGAATAATCGAAGAAATTGCAGAAGAAATTTTACACGAGAGGAAGGCGGCAATTTTAGGGACACTTGTTGAGAATAGGGATATAGATCTCTATATCATAGCTAAAGTCATGATGGTAGAAAGGCCACATATAAAGAATGCAACTGTAAGATCCTACTTATACTACTTCCACGATAGTTGTATTCTACTAACTACGCATACATTCTAGGCAATGGAAAAAGCTCTATATTTCATGAAGTTCGTCCAAGATGTCGGAGCCGTGAAATTTAGAGGGAAACCTTGGTCTCAACAAATCCAAGATGCTTATTCTACTAGATCCTCATCTTCAGGAGAATCAAGCACATCAAATGGCACACACAAGACCCTGGAAAAGAAGCCTAAAGACGTAAAGAAAGCAGGTAAGGGTATCACTGTCATTCCGAAACCCGTGGAAGGAGCAAACTCCTCCATTAGCTCCGATGGACGTCAAAAGGGTCAAAAAGACAAGGAAGCGGATAAAAGAAAAAGAAGGGACGCTTATGAAAGAGAGAAACAGAGAAAAGCAGACGAAGACAAAAAGAGAAGGGAGCAAGATGATGCTGCAGAGATGGAAAGAAGAAAAGCAGATCTTGAACAGTTCAATGCGGATCGAACCAAGCACATGGCGCAGGCCAAGAAGAGTGCCACGCATCATCTCAGGGATGAAAGCCCGATGAGGAAAAAGACAAACGATGATAGAAAGAGACACTAGGCAATATGGTTTACAACTATCTCTCTGCCTCTGAGCAGAAAGGGCGAGGAGCTCATGAAAGGTAGACAGAAGCGGAGTTAGGCGTTCATGTCATTTTGGAATTTGTAATCATTAGATTCATCAACTTGCTGATGCCAAGTTTTATCGAGGTGATAAAGTGACGAGTAAGTTTTTTACATGCTAGGACTATCAACTAAGAGATAATTCCTACTAGTCATGCTCATAAATTCAAGTAAGCGACCATCATAGTCACTATCTCTAGCTCATGCGTCGGGGTATCAAGCTGGAAATTTCTTTTTGAATTATGAGGTATTTTAATCAATTGATTGTAGGAGTCTCTTGATTCAGAGAGGACCCGTCTCGTGATACGTTAAAATTTGCATTGGAGATCATTAGACTAAGAATACATTCACCAGAAAATCGACATTCGCCCCTTCAATGAACTCGCTTAATCGCCCTTGATTGAAACTCGTTGCTGGTGATGAATATTTAGTCTTGTTTACGGAGAGCAGCATTTTGAGGGCTCTATATTATCACGAGTTGATAGCAGACTGCTCATCTACTCTGGGGGTTTAGTGCCCTCTGATTCCGACTTCCTAATTCTGTATCGCGGTAGCTGCTTCTTCTTTAGGGTTTTTGGAGGCGTGGGAGTTTAAACATTGATCCGACCCAAAACAGCAGTGACGAATCTACTATATGGCACTGCAATTTTTATTGCAGGTTTTCAAAACCAATCCTTTGAGTTCTGACTTCTGGTGATGCACTTCTTATTGTTCCCCTTGACAGTCATAATTAAATTTCGATCCGTCGATAGAGGTCTCGTACTACTTAAGACCAAGAGTCAATAAGCAATAGAGAAATTATTAACCGTCAACCATCCTTTAACAGACGCTACCATGGCAGAATCAGAATCAGACGCTTCTAACCCGCTTTACAATAGAGACCATGAAGATTATTTCTTCTACGGTCGAGAATTAATTCCCCATTTCCCATACCGGGCCTACCATCTGAATGTTCTAGGATATTCTTTACCAAATGGAAGATTTGAACAGGATAAGCACCTATCTCCATTGTCAGCTCCTTCAACCCCGACTGAGATTTCCACTGACAGTGGGAAGCTTCCTATATAGACTTAGACAGTTTTATCCAGAGATCGTTACAATGGTCTATTCATATATCATTGATGAGCCATCGATTGATCCAGCCGCAGAAAACGATATCGAAGAAAGCAGCTTTATTCCAGATCCGGTCTTATTATCCAGACGACTCAATGGCTATCCACACAGCGATGATGAAGAAGAAGGTGAACCAATAACATCATATCCAATGCCGATCACTGCTCTGCTGTTCAAAAAGGAAAAACGAGCAGTCTATGCACCCACGACAGGAATAGATACACAGGCCTGGAAAATTCAAAATACTAAAGGCTGGAAAGATCATAGAAGCACACAACGAATTCTGGAGAGGAGTGTCTGTAAGAATCCATCAGAGGGTACTTATAGCCAACTGGTCCAATTCGCCTACTCCTTGGCGCTCCACGAGGGATTTCAAATTGGTTACGATAGTTGCACTTGGTGGTCTCCTGTGAGAAAACGTAGTCTTCTCAAGGGATTTCTGACGTGGTTTTGGAGCCACTTTGGTATTTACATAAATACGTGTAATTGGAGTATGTATCCAAAGGTAATGATCCCAAAAGTTCCAAACTGGCATCAGGAGAAACGACTTGAGTCATTCAATGGGATTCAAAACAGGAAACTTTACAATCGTTGGCCTGCATATAGACGACTGGAAGCCCCTCAGTTACAAGTTAGGGCTAGAACTCGCTAACAACAAGTGTAGTACTTCTCAATTAACAACCTTCTACAATACCATAGATTAGAGCACCTTACTCTACGATTTTCCACCACGACAATTAATCTCAAAAGGGGGGCGATGCACATGAACATGCGTCAATTCATTACGAGTTTGTCAGAAAAGCGCTGCGGCGCAAAAGGCTGCAAAGGCGACATCTGCGGGAAAGAATACTGTGGAGACCACTCATGGTTTCCCAATCTTCGCAATATCACATATCTCAATAGAAATCAACATACGGAAGGCATTGCAGAGGCTCGTTGTGATCCATTGAGAACGGGCTGGTCAAGACGCTTGATCAAACATTTTCAAGACGTCAAACTTTCGAAGTCTATTGAGGTGATCTTCGATATTTATGGCGGTCCCGATGAATTGAGCAGTGATGATGACGATGGAGAGTCCGATAGCAATTGGAATGAGGTTCTCTATAAGAAATATGATCCTAAAGAATATTATTATAAGAGTAATAACACGGATACGCCTGTTCTTTTGCACAATCGTCAGTTGGCAGTACAGGATTGCATTCGTCTTCTTCTGATGCCAAATTCATTGTTGAAGGGAAATACGAATGACTTACCAGAAGATTTGGGGCTTCAGGAATTGTTTGAAGATATCGTTGTTTGATTGTGGGCTGTTTCATTGTTTAAACAAGCAAAAAGACTTGGGTCCCAGGTTACGAATCAACAGAATGTATCGCTAGGGATACATTTGTTTTCCAAAAAGAGAAAGATGTGTTAGGGGAATAACAAAACAGGAATCATGAGATGCTGTAAAGGAAGAATAGGAATACTTAATTCTCTAGATTATTCTTCGTCAATAACACGCTTACAAAAACGGAATATATGCAATTAGGGAATGTTAAGAGAGGTAAATGTCGCATCAACGAGGCCTACGCTGAATGCCATCTGAGATATATATCCTTTCAGTCGGTGTGTGTACCATGTATGGCAATCAAAACCCACTTGGATTTGCCTTTTTCCAGAAGAGAGTTTATAGGAATTTCTTAAGTTATCACCCCTATCACCAGTTTCATAAACTGCGTGTAGAGCAATAGCTTGCGTAGTGCGGTTCATTGCATGTGACAACTCAACTATTTCGATAGAAAAGTAGTTATCTAATAACCGCTAGATCCCGATATCTTAACTTCTGCTGCCTAAACCCGAGAAGCGCCCTTAACTGAACCCCAACACACCACACACTAATTACTATTCCTCCATATCAAACATCTCGCGAATCCCCAAATGATCCGGCACATCATCCGTACTCCCAAAGCACAAGCATTCCGGCATCAGCAACTGTCTCAATCGCTTCCGAAACACAGCATGGAAAATTGGTCCTTTCGGCAACATCCCATCCAACATCTGAAATTGCACGTCAAAGTATTTCGCAAAGGTGATTTCTCGCAGCGCATTTGCCCATCTGTAAGCACCAGGACTGTGCATCAAATCCGCCAAATCTTGTTCTCCTATTTGTAGGAATACGGTGAAAGACTCGATGTTGGGGAAATGGTGCAGCTCTTTGAGGAAAAGCTTTAGGCGACGGCCGTCCACATACTTTTGGGCGTGGTTGAATGGTTCCATGACGAGGATGTCGAGAGAGATGTTCTGGAGGTAACGGAATTTTGCATGATTAACTTTTGACCATGCGAAACTAGCCTAAATTTGTGTAAGTATTAGCATGGCGGTTCTTTGTCATGGGAGAATCATGTAGGTATACCTCAAGTTCATTAGTGAAGTTTACACCAAAAAATTTCCAGAACCACGTCAAGAATTCTCTTAGCAAGCTTGATTCTCTGCTCTCGCTCTTCCAAATACCTGAATTGCTGTCGCTTGAATCCCTCTCGAAGTAGAAGCCTTCCGAATGCGCGAGAGAGGCAGCAAATCTGATGAAATCGACATAAGACCGCGCAAAGCAATTTGGATAGTCATTCTCGATATAAACGATGCCCATCGTCTTTTCCTTGTCTTCGCTGGAAGTTATGTCCGTGTGCACTGCGAAATCTCTCTCGAAAAACGCATTGTTTGGCGGGATCTTTATTTCTGCATCTCGGGATTCAAGATATCTATCCTCGTTGGAAGTTCCTTTGCTGGTGACTTGAATGGAGTACTTGACGGGGGCAAATTGTAGGCCATCGTAGAGTAGAGTAATCTTGCATAAGATGGGAACTTCTTTTGATATACGTAAATGAGTCAAAATCATCGTCTCCCGCCACTCTCTTGGTTGGTATTTGCGTAAAGATATTGGTGCGAATTTCTGGTGGTGCAAGTTTAATCGACTCGAGGAGACTACCAAAAGTCAGCAAATCAGAAGCCAGCTTCAATTAAAGTCAGCTACAAAGTACTATTCAACGTACCTCTGGGTTATACTGTGATGAGACGTATTAGGATTATCTGCATTGTCTTTGAATGTGGAAGCACCTTGGAACTCCCGAAGGGGAAAGCCAGGAATCAACTCGAGACTTCGAAAATAATAATCTCGGTCTTTTGTGTCCCGGAAAAGAGCCTTTTCCTCGTCAAACAAGATAGCATTTTCATTCATAAAAGCTGGCCTGTGTTTCAAAGTGAAAGGAAGATCATAAAACCCTCGCGCAATATACCGTGCAGTGGTGTGAGTCCAAGGGTCCCTAATATCATAAGTGAGCCCGCCTAATGCAGTCATTCCGAAGACGGGGCTGTATCTCAAGCTGTGAAAGTTTTTGTTGTTGTTTACTTTGAAATGAACGTTTCTGTTTTGTTGTATTCGCGATGATACACGCGATATATATTCACTTTCGCTTGGTGTATTACTTCGATTGACTAGGAAGGTACCTAGGTATACCTACGTTGAGTGATGATAAGAGAAGGTGAATATCCGTTCTAATTCTGTTAGCAACATCAAACACCTGGAGCATATTACAATGGCTCACAATCGATATCGAGGGCTCTGCGTGATCCCAGGTAGTGTCAACGTTAAAACGTGTGGTATCATTGCTATTTTCCTATTCCAAGTTGATCTGATCCCCTAATTCTGCAAAGGCTTGCCCATGCCTCCATATGTAACCACCTTAATGGTTTGATATTCTGCAATTCCATATTTGCTTCCTTCACGTCCAAATCCTGATTCCTTAACACCACCAAATGGTGATGCTACATCACTGATCAACCCAGTGTTGACACCAACCATTCCAAGCTCTAACTCTTCTGAGATTCTAGTGGCTCTTTCAACGTCTTTAGTAAAGAAATATCCTGCCAAGCCGACATCGGATGAATTTGCAATTCGAACGACTTCCTCTTCAGTATCGAATTTAAGAAGACCTGCAACAGGACCGAAAGTTTCCTCGTTTGCGATGTCCATATCTGTAGTAACACCAGTGATGACAGTGGGTTGGAAAAAGTTTGCTCCAAGCTCAGGGATCTTCTGTCCACCTTGAATAACCTTTCCTCCTTTCTTCTCTGCATCTCGTACATGAGCTTCTACCTTGTCAACCGCGCGGCCGTGAATAACTGGTCCATGCGTGATACCATCAGAGAAACCACCTCCAACCTTGAAGTCCTTGACCTTTGCGGCAAATTTCTCGGCGAAGGCGTCGTAGATTCCAGATTGCACAAAGATTCTGTTGGCACAAACGCAAGTTTGTCCAGATGAACGGAATTTGCATGCAATAGCACCAGTTACTGCAAGATCAAGGTCTGCATCATCAAATACAATGAATGGAGCATTTCCACCAAGCTCAAAAGACAATTTCTTCAATGTCGACGATGATTGCTTCATCAAAATCTTACCCACACCAGTAGATCCGGTGAAAGAAACTTTCTTGATGATTGGGGAAGTGGTGAGAAGCTCGCCAACAGCGGGTGTATTATCGAGAGAGCTAACAAAGTTTACAACACCCTTGGGAATTCCAGCCCGGTGTGCAAGTTCGGCGAGAGCGAGAGAGGTGAAAGGTGTTTCTCCGGGGGACTTTGCTACAACTGTGCAACCAGCTGCCAGTGCAGGGGCTATCTTTCTCGTTATCATAGCAGCTGGGAAATTCCATCTAGACAAAATCAGCATCGTGCAATCATTGTAGTGCAGAGTAAACCTACGGGGTGATAAGTCCGACGACACCAACAGGCTCCTTCAAGGTAATAACTCTATTTCCAGGAGTAGATGATGGAATAACATCTCCATAATTCCTGGGAGCCTCTTCGCTGAACCATTCCAAGAAGTTGGCTGCGTATGTTGTCTCTCCTTTGGCGTCCGCCAATGGCTTTCCATTCTCCCATGTTATGAGCCTAGCAAGATCCTCACTGTTTTCAACCTGTATGAAATCAATCAACAATCGTCCTTATTATGTTTCCATAATATATTCTTCTAGCATACCATCAAATCGTACCACTTTCGTAATAGCTTAGCTCTTTCTCTTCCAGTTGTAGTTCTAAACGAGGGAAATGCTGCGGCGGCGGCATCGATTGCTTTCTTCGTATCAGCTACATCGAACTCTGGGGCATTTCCGATGAGTTTCCCAGTTGATGGATCTGCAGAGGGAATGAATTAGCACTTTTTCTCGGCATCGACTCTTGATGAAGCTGCAAAACATACCATGAACGTCAAATGTCTTTCCGGAAGCTGCCTTGACCCATTCTCCATTGACGTACGCAACTCCGGTTTTGAAGAGCGATGGGTCATTAAGTTTTGGGACAGTGTGCGACATATTGGAAGCTTTTCTTAAGTTGATGACTGGTAAAGTAGATGGTTGAAAATGTGAACGAGGTAGTATTCTTGCTGTTGATCTTAATATGTTGTTCATGTTGAGAGAGGGGGTGCCAAGCTGGGGGCTTTTATTCTAACAATTCCAGATTCGAGCACCAACGTCACCATGGAATAACAATTGGCTGTTGCTGACAATTGAGGTGTAGGAGATACGAATATTGGTTTAGGGGAATAGAAGTAGATATTTCTTAGACCCGATGGAAAATGCACCGGAATCGAAACACTTTGAGTAACTGGAGTTACGGAGAGCTCAATGGAATCATGGAGCTCAGGATAGGGCGTTCGTTTATCGGATTTATCGTGAGGTGAGTGAACCTTTGCTCGCTTTGATAAGCTTCGCCGCGGGGCTGTCACTAAACCTAATTCAGGTGATAGCACATTCAACATTTGTAATGGGGAAAGTTGTACACAGTCATCAAAAACAAGTCAAGTCAGGCGAGAGACAAAGGTATGAAAGGGGTAGAATACAATTTTACATAATTATATCATTCAGTACATATATAATTACATTCTGAATTATATAACGACACGCACAAAGATATTATCAGATATCGTTTGAAAGAAGATCAGTGTTCTACAAGATCTAAAGGAGGGCTAGGGCTAAATATATCATTTCATTCTACCAACCGCTAATCGAAGGCCTACGATTCCCTTCTTATTCATTAGTATTGGTGGAAAGAGAGGGAGAGGGTACCTGTGAATAACATGGACTCTACGCCGAGAATACTACCTCGGTACCTCTACTATGCATCTACGTACCTGGTGCTAAGTATCTAGCACGTCAGCCAGCATCCCTAGACCTTGTTTGCGCATACTCTTCCCCGACTTCCCCGCGTCGGCAATTCCTGGGCAATCAAGGACAACGTCAAACTCAATTCGATTGACATGCAAGTACAAAGTAGTAATTTATCCAGCTTCATTCATCAAAGGTACTTCGGTTTCCGGTATGATATACTGCGAGTACCACGTAGGATATGCACTCGCTATCCGTAGCAATGAGATATTGGGAAAGAACCAGAGATCTACACTGTACAGACTGTGAAATGATTACTTAAACTTCGTTGACGTTCTCTCTTGACATTCCTCTCTTCACTGAATGTACTTTTAGTTGTTCCCTATTACCAATTGATGTTTCGGAGACAGGAAATCACTAACTGTCTAGTACTTACAAAATGGCTCGCATCACTGGAGTCACACTTCTAAGCTTTGTGCAAGCAATTCATGCTCAAAGTAGCTTCACTGTTGCAAGGACCGCCCCAGCGAACGCCGGTACCCCACTTCCGGCCTTCATAAGCTACTCTATCGAGTTTTGTTTCTTCCCGGATTACGCTGGTATGTCAAGAGCTCAGGGCCATATTGCTTGGCTTATATGCTTAAATTTTTAGGGAATAACTCAAGTCCCAATACCTACTCAGATAATTTGCTTGACAATCTTGCACATTATCAAGGTACTAAACCGCACATTCGAGTCGGGGGAAACACTCAGGATTATGCTCTTTACAATGCTAGTCTTCCATATGCTGTGAATGGTACAATCAATCCAGCAAAAGCTACAGACTATCCAACAGCGGTTTATTTTGGTCCATCCTTTTTTGAGTCTTACAATACTTGGTCGGATGTCAAATTTAGTCATGGATTCAATTTGGGTCTAGGTGCGAATAATTCTGCTGGATGGCAAACTCTGCTAGACACGATCCCCTTAGCATGCAAAGCTTTAGAAGGCGGAAAGCTTCTCATGTGGGAATATGGAAATGAACCAGATTTATTTTCCACCTCCGCACAAGGACCAGTTCGACCTCCTACTTGGAATGAATCAACATATGTGAGCCAATGGTTGAATGGCAGTCGACAGATCAAGGAAGGCGTCGCAGCAGCTTGTCCGGACTTGGCCTCCTATGGATTCTTAGCACCCTCTTTTGCTGGTGTTGAAAATCATCTAGATCCTGTCACCACATGGAACTATGGATTAGATGTAGGTAAAGATATTGAATTGATATCATCACATAAGTATAGTCCCATTCACTATGTTACACTTTGAATACTAACAAAACTATCAAAGTTATATTGGTGGTGCGACGCAACCAGGTGTAACACTCCAAGGAACCCTTATGAATCACACGTCAACTGTCGTGTCTGTGGCCCGACAGCTGAACGTGTCTAATATTCTTGCTTCATCTGGCGTACCCTTTATCCTCGGGGAGACCAATTCACTTTACAACGAAGGTGCGCCAGGGTTGTCAAATGCATATGGTGCTGCTCTAGTACGTCCTGTCTGTAGTTAATCTCCATTTCATCATATTAACTTGTATTTAGTGGAACTTGGACTTCGCTCTATACGGTGCAAGTAAGAGCATTCGTCGCATTCAGTATGTACTTTCCAGCAATCAATTTTCACGAATCTCACATTGACCCTTCATCCAGTTTCCACACGGGACTCTCATTCCGCTACCAGGCTTGGCAACCCCAGGATACGGATGTTGTCCCAAAGGGCACCAAGCCACCATACTACGGTAACATCGCCGCTGCTGCCTTCTTATCCAATCTTACCGCAGCCACCACAACCATAGCCGAAATCCCACTCTCAAACGCAATGGAATCGGCTTACGCTGCATATGTCAATGGTGCCCTCAAGCGCATCATAGTTATCAACATGCATCAATACAACTATACCGTAAACGGAACCTCTACAGTTTTGAATCCCGTCCCGCGTCCAATCAGAAATTACACAATCACAATCCCAACCAATACTACAACCGGATCCTCGGACCACTATGCACCAGCTGCGCTGCCGAAGGTAGCTACATTGAGAGCCCTTCATGCAAATGGTAGTGATGCAATAACCGGTATTACGTACGATGGATATTCTTATAACTATGAACTTAACAACGGAAAACCTGTACGATTGCACAATGTGACGGTCGGACATACGGTCAAGGTTGTGGATGGGAAATTCACCGTACCAGTTGAAGATTCGGGGGCGGTGACGGTTGATTTCGGAGCATGATGTATGGATTAGGATTTTTGATAATGTATACAAGGGCATGTGCAAACTAAACCACTTATCTAGTTCCTTCCTGTATTGCCTTTAAAATACACGAAAACAAGGCTTTCATAAACCTCATCTCCTGTATATGTTCGTTGACACGAGATAGTTTCCCTGTTTGAAAAGTAGTTGTTCATCTTCGCTTTCCATTCTCTCCCTGTAACAAAACGAGTGGTTTATCTCCCAACTCCCACTATAGAGAGATTCTACTGCTCAAAATCTTATTCTTTGTGGTCAGGCAAGATTTTTTGTTGAAAAAATTCGCGAAATTTTTTGTGAAGATCTTTGTGCTCATGATCTGGAGTCCATTCAAAGTTGTGTGCTTCGACTTCAAGAACTATGGCGTAATCCTCTCATTGCTACAGCCCTCTTCTTCAGGACACCCAGGACATCCAGGCAAATCGGGAGCTGTGATCCAGGCTTTCGCTCGCAAGAAATCTCAACTCGCTTGTGAATGAATTTTCTTATCATGCAACAGACTTTGTTTGCCTTGACGAACGAAACTGGATTCAATGAATTCAATCTATGTGTTTATTCGTCTGAAGGGGTGGTTTGTTCCTTTGTAACATAAGGTATTAGAATATTGACAGTCGTCCTTCTGTCTGTGAAGTTTTCGTTGCTATCTCCGATCAGCTGTGATTCAATCTTCGTTTTGGCAGCGTTAGGAAACCACGTTGACTCATCCACAATGTTCTTCTGCTGGATAGATACTGTCGAATGCTTTCTGATTAAGTAGGAGAAGAGCATACGGTTCATGGTACAGTCCACAAGTGCCACAGCAGTAGCAACATATTTTGGGGCGCCACAAATCAACGTTGAAGTTCTTACGGTCGCGACTTGAGGTATTTAGTTACCTAGAGATTCACAGTCGTAACAATACTTACGATTGACATGACAAACTTTATTGGAACTCGAAAAATAGTCGTTAGCAAAATTCTCGAATTCCGTCGGCTTGCTTTCCACGGAATATCTTCGAGGTCATCCAGTGAGAGAGAAATATCAACCCTAGCATTTCAAGATATGTCGCCTTCGTCTTCGGAGCCGTCTAGTAGGAGCTCCTCGGACGCTTTCTCAACTTTAACCATTAGAAAGAAACGACAAGAACAACGAGCCAAAGCCCAAGCCCAGGCATCGCGAAGCAATCTTGGAGAAAGTAGAGACCACACACCACCTGAGACTCCAGGTACAATAATCTTCCATGCGCCTGTTTCTCGTACAAGCGCCTTAGATCCGAGAGGCCATGCTCAGGCTTTAGCACGTGGTGGTCCTTCGTTGGAGTTTGGCTCATACGAAGAACTCAACATAAACAATCCTCGTCGACTACCTTTTGACCTTCAGCAAGCTATGTTGTACAAAGTATGCGGAACGCTTGAGGCTGCAATATTCGACTTCACAAAGCGCTGGGCGCCAGAATTCCTTGACGATAAGAATGTGAAGTCGGGTCGAGAAGTAGAGCTCAACTTTTGGGAGAAATGGTTAGCCGCACCTGTTATCCCTCTTGAAGCTTTCGAGAACCCTAATGACATTCCTCGATATCTTGAATTACTGGGCAAGTTTAAAGAGATCTGTCACACTTTCGTTCACCGAAAGAAGGCACCTGTTTTGTATGTCGACCAGATGGTAGCTGACGCCATAGAAATGACCAAGATGATCAAAGATGAAGCACGTGCTGAGTCACTAGACGAAATGCATCAAATACTCCATCATATGGGAAGCCTTTTGCGTAATCAAGTCACCGTTGAAATGAAGGGGATTCTTGATGATAGGCTCCAAACCAATAGACATCTTCAAAAGACGCCGATGAGCTGGCTGGAGGCCAGTCGATTGCAAGAAGAGGAGTCTGAGATTTTGAGAGACCTGAATCATGAAAATGACGTGTTCGCATCTTTGTATGCTAGGTCATTGCAAGCCCTGGAGGAAATTATGGAACCGCTTTCCAAGATGATGATTTTCTGAGAATTTCCGTACTTTGCCGGTCGTGTCAAGTTGAACAGTGGTTGTGTCTTTTCCGGTGTCCGAGTACTCCACATCAAACACTGGAGCATGGAAAGAAAGCGAAAGTTAAATTGTATGTATCGCAGCATATTGCATTATTGTTCTGATATTATTGCAATTTTGGGTTATTCATGTTCATTGGCGGAACAAATTAGTCTTGACAATGATGGCTTTCACAAAGTATGCAGGAGATATTTGAGACTTTGTAAGGCGTAGAGGCTGAATGTAGCAAACCTCGTAATATAATTTATGTTATTTATTGAAGCAACTTTACTCAATAAATCTGAGAAGAAACCCAATACTCGATGGTACCCCGTGGCATGTATGAAACTGGCATGTAGACTACTCATGCATGAGTTGCTTCAAATTGTTGAGACAACTCATGTCGACTTTGAACGTCTGAAGGTGTGAGTTTTCAGCAATTGACAGTGTAAAAGTATGTATGAACAAGAAAAGTGTAGAATTGTGAGATCCAGATGAGCCTGCAACCATCTAAGCTGTCCACGTTGTTACTACTAGTAAGGTAGTTGGATCAGGTGGAAGATCGATGGCTTCCTTAGTGGATATATTAGTAATTTCTCATTGAGCCGGTGGTAAACGGAGAACAAGGTTTTAGGGTCGGTGAGGGAAAGCACGGTTTCGTTGTTGATGCAAGGTACGTACCTACATGATACATGCTAACACGACCCCAGCTTTTGGATATGATATGAGGGCTGACATAATGTCATCTAATCGGCATATGAGAGCGAGAGGAAGAGCACCATTTTATCATCAAGCTCTTTTCCTATCGCCATGCAGTGGTAATGAGGGATAACCGGAAGAGATTGTCTGTAAGCACTGAAGAGTAAATAACTCATGACAGTTCTCGCTATGATATCCATGTGTAGACAGTGACGAAATACATACAAAAATGACTCAATGCGGGATTTGAAAATTCTGTAAAGAAAAAAGGGGCAAGGAAGATGATCAACAACAAGGAAAGGAAACGTTCCGTCTTGGGGGGTGGATGTTATCCAAGCGTTTTAGTCTCATCCCGAATAGTACGGGATTTGGTAACAAAATAGGTGTATTTTTGGTATCAATATATAATGTCCAGGTAGTTAAAGGGAGAGAAAGGCTCAAGGAGATCTCGGAAGTCCTTGTTAATGGAACATCATCACGTGAATTAGAAACATTCCTCATTCTACTGTAGGTGCGGGATGCCAAGACGCTAACCCCGCCTTTTTATAAATCGTGCTTTCTCTTTTTAACCTTTTCTGGGGAAATCACCAATCGCTTTAACTCGTGATTTCTTTGGCTTCCAAGGAAAAAGGAACCAATTATTAATTTCTCATTGCCTCATGATGTCGTCTTAATGCGTTTTTCCTCTTTGTTGCTATACATTTACGTAACAATGAAACGAATGCGTGCTGGCTGTGAAGAGTATTGGATAACTTCTTGAGCTGTGCTTTGAGCTCTGACGATGGAAAGAGAGTCATGGGAGGTCATCTCGCAATTTCCCCAGTGTTTGGTATGCAAATTCTTCATGCATTGAGTAAGATGTTGTCTGACTTGGGACTTGGCCGGGCCAGACGTTTCCCTATAAACAGTTGAGAAGGTATAAGAGTCTCACGATAGCCTCACAACGAAAAGATGGATTTAAGAGTGGCGAGAAACTCAAAGAAATCCTTTTACAAACCATATAAAATAGTCATTCAAACTCCTGGACCTCGGCGTATTGTTGGCGATACGAATTTGGAGATATAAAAAACTTGAAACACATAACCTAGCATCTCGAACATTTCAGCACCTCAGAACTTCACTAGAACACAATGTCTCGCTTCTCACTGCAAAACAACTCGAACAGGAGAAAGGCATATGATGCTGGGCAATCTCCATTAGAGTTGCTTCCACCTGAGCTTCTTCAAAAGATACTCGGCAACCTAGAACTGAAATACGATCACAGAGAAGGAGGTTCAAGCAATGGTAAGACTTCACTCAATATCTGCAATAAAGTTCAGTTGACATGATATTGATATTTTATAGATTCCGGCGACATCAATTGCCCTCACCTTGAGAGGCCTACTTTATTTTCATGTCTTCGTGTATCAAGAGCCATTTATATGAATGCACTTTTCATTACATATCGAAGTGTGACGGTTACTCACATGTCCGCCTTTAACCATATACTTGCTCAACTTACCGAAAATCCCATCCTGGGTAGAACCATTCGACGTCTTGATTTCTCCGAGTTGAAAACTGCACGCCCAATGGGAGAGTTTTCCAATTACCTTTACGGAATAGTTTCACTCGCTCCGCACCTTCGAGAATTCCGAATACCCAAGGATACCAACCTAAACGGTTTCTTAAGCGAGTCCTTACTTCGACTACTTTTTGTTGGGTTACCTCATTTGAAGACGTTAGACTTAGGTAATTGCACGTCATCAACATTGGATTGCATACCTAGCATCCTTGATGGTATGCCAGCATCTGCTTCACTTCCGATCAAATCATTATCCTTGGAGAATTGTAAAGCTCTACCAGCTTCATCCTTCGACTCTCTATTTTCACGGCTAGGCTCCATTCGATCGATGACGTTATCACATACTCATATCACGACAGAAGCTTTACAACTTCTTCCTCCCACGGCCAAAGTATCACATTTGGCTCTTAATCATTGCCCCTTCCTTGAAGATGTCTCTCTGATCGACTTTATCACCTCACATCCGTCGGTGAAGAATACATTGGAATACCTCGATGCCTCTGCTGACCTCACGGTTGGTGAAGAAATAAACGAAAAGGATACAGAACGTCTACTGAAATATGCACCAAAGACTATTAAAACTCTCAAGCTAAGAGGATGGAAGATGGACTCAGCATGTGTCACCCAGTTAAAGGCCTTGAATCAAACAGTAGAAGAATTAAGCATAGGCACTGGCCTCCGCATGCGCGATCTCGAATCTATATTTCTCGAGACTGAAGATCATGAATCACGAAACGAAGAAGAAGGAATCGATTCATCAGAGATTGACTCAAAGTATACCACTGTCCTCGAGCCAATGGAACGTGCGATAGCCATCACCAAGTTACGACGAAGGATTTCCAACACCCCGTTGCCTCTTTTCAACGGTGTCAAACATAGCTTAAGGTATCTTGATATCAGAGGAATGACATTGGCAGAACAGAGCAAGATTCGGTCTTCAATCTTGCTCGGCAAACAATCAGTGGCACTGAATGTGATTGCTGTAAATGATAGATTAATGGACAGAGAAGGGACGTTGAAGGAGATTTGTGCGAGTGTGGGATGGACGGTAAAGAGAGATGGAAGGAGATGTCTCTTGGTTAGACGAAAAGTTTAACATGCTTTCAGGAAAAGTTTTGCAGAAGTTCTGGCCTTCACGATCAGCGTGGATTGGTGTTATGGGAGCATGGTACGCGGCGTTTAGAAGCTCAAAAGTATTTGACCTTGGATTGATACCATAGCAAATTATGTCTTAATTTTTAATCAATATGAATCGCATTCAATCTCGCTTTTATTTGATGCTATACAGATCAAGGCTAAGCAAAACTCGTCCTTGCTTCAATTCTTTTTGACAACAGTTCATTAACATCGTTAACTAAGCCGCCATCCTGTCTTCTTGAATTAGAATTCTTCAATCCTCCAGCATTATATCTTTCTTCTCGGCATGACCCACACAGGACCTAAATCTGAAGATACAAGGCTTCTTGCCCCGTATATCTACACAAATTCCAAATATATATCTAGCATCACGTGAACATCTCGTGGTACCTCACCTTCCTTGTCTTCACGCAAAATGACATTTACGTCAAACCCCCTTCATCTTCATCTCTACCCGAAATGATCGTACCACAGTTCGCCGTCCAAAGGACAAATTGTAGAAGATTAATCCACTGTCGCTCTTCCCCATTGGTACTCGTCATTTTACAATTATTCGCGAAAATAAATTTTTCTTTGATGTCTTGTGTTTTATAATATAATTAGAAAAACTAACATAGTTTAACATCGAGTGGACCATATCATCGAGTAAGCCACTTTCACCTCAATTTACACCTTCAAATATAGATTATTCAATAATTATTGAATCAATTAATTTAAATTATTAAAAATCTAATAATCTAGGATCTATTATATTATATTATTTTAATAGATTTTTGTATTATAATCTAACTTTTCATATTTATTATAATATTTATTAGAAAATACTTCCTTATTAGAATTCCTTTCATTTTAATATTTATTATATTAAATCTAAATGTTAATCTTTTATTAAAATAATATATTAAAAATCTTTTATTTAATAAATACTCCTTCTTAATATAATTAAGTTTTTTTTTTATATTAATATTTATATAATATTTCATTTGTTTTTTGAAATGTATAAATCTTTATATTTAAAAGTGTATTTTTATAAGCTAATTTCTTTATACCTTTAATTAGAATTAATATAATTTTAAATAAAAATATAGAGGAGTTTGATTAATAATAATTTATTTGAGATTTGATTAATATTGATTAAAAAAGAATTTCAATTAAATTATAAAGAGTTTAAAAGATCTATTAATTTAGATTGAAAAAGAAAAAAGTAAATATACAAATTCAAATATTTAATTTCGAAAATACAACTTCAAAATTAAATAATATCAACCCTGTTTTTTGAAATCTTAATTTTATATTTTGAAAAGTAATTAATTCCTTATATATAATTTTAAAAATTATAAAGAATTCAATCTTCAAAATATAATTAATATATACCTTAATAAATCTATCAATTTGATTATCATATAAACATTTCAGATTGTTAAAATAGTTAATATTAAGTAATTAAATTAAATGATTTAAATATAATAATAAATATATATTTAATATCATTCACTTTATAATATACTTGAAAAGCTCTTGATTTATAATTTTTATATCCATTTAATATTAACATTCGATATTTATCCTTTTTTTTATTTTT